GTTCTTGAAAGTTTGCCAGTGGTTGGGTACAACTGGGTAATCACGCACCATAAGCGAGTCAACGGAGAGGGCCTGCCGAGCGATGCGTTTGAATGTGTCGAATACTTAGAGATGCTGCCAGATCAAGACATTAGGTGGCTGTTAGACTGGACGATTTGCTTTAGGCCAATACTTCGCACTAAAGTGTTAGAATTTGTTCTCCTACTGGGTACCCAAGGAATCACCGCATACACCCCAAAGAGGTTCCTCAGACAGTTAGGACGTACCCAAGGAGTGCCGCCTGTGGTTGATGTGAGTAAGCTTACCATCATTTTCAATAGAGGAATGTGCCCAAACAAGCTCCCTATGAAAGACCAGATTATTGCGGCATGGGTGACGCTATCTGATGACGAATGTTTTAAATACATCCCGGAACTCAAGTAGAAGGGTTTGACGACTCCACAATACGAAAACTGGGTAAGAAGATCAACTGCACAAGGGCAACAAAATGAACCAATTGAGGAGGTCAAAAAGTTGAAAGCCATCATTGAATCAAAGGATAGGGAAATTCTACAGTTAAATAAGTCTATCGAGACACACAAGGGAATAGCGGAGCAAAACAAGCAATTGTACGAGGATGAGCGAGAGAAGCGTCAAGAGCTGAAAAGGAAATGCGGAGAGTTGTATGATCAAGCTGAACGTATTAGATTTCCATATGCTAGAGAAACTAGGGATTCTGTATTAGACAGGCTCAGAAATTTTGGCGACCTTGTACGGAACTGCCTTCGTGATATGATGTAAATATTGGCAAGTTTATCAATGAAATTGATCTCTCTTTGCACTCGTACAAAATTGTTGTTAAAACAGGTTTGTATAACGGGTCCCATTTCGAAGGTGTTGCATCATGCTAGGTCTACTCTTGGCACGAAAAGGGCTCCCCAATAGGACATGCATCCGAATTTTTTGAATATTTACTAACTCTTTTCTTTTTCTTTATTTTATTTTGTTGGAAAAGCTAAGCGAGGGCTAAGATCTAAAGGCAAGTCATTTAATATTTTCAGGTAATATTTAAACATAGCTTCTCGTCGAAGCCCCATCATAACATGATCCCGTAGTCGAGCCCAGAGGAGTCGTGTAAACATGAGTTCACAGCCGGGATCATCGGACAGGTCCGCTACCACAGCTCAGCCCGAAACCGCAAAATTGGGGGTCCAGCTAATCGAAATGTTGGCTAAGTTTAGCGAGATGACAACCGAGATGGCGGCCCAAAGGAAATTGATTGATTAGCTTATCAGTGGTGGTGTTCAACCCGAATCCGCACCTGTCAATCAACCAGAGCTAGAACCATTTGTCATACCCCCGACTCAAACTACTATTATTTCATCTTTCCCTATTCCACCCGAAGAAACTTTCACCCATACCACTACAAATTTGCTATACACCTACCCCCTTAATCCTTTATTTCTTCCTACTCACACGCAAATTCCACCACCCCAAGTCACTACGAATGTACTCCCTGAGCAGTATACTTTTTATCCCGCTGCTGTAGAACCCTTAATACCAGACCCTGCTGTTCAAGCCAAACCAGAAATAGGAGAATCTTCTGCTCCTGTTGATATGAAGTTGCTCAAGCGCCTGGATCGCTTTGATGAATTTATGAGGAAAAGTCAGGGGTTAAATAAGCAAGGAGTGCTGGATTATTCTGAGCTTTGTTTGTTTCCAGATGTACAATTGCCTGTTGGATTCAAAACGCCGAAGTTTAACAAGTACGATGCGACGGGTAATCCCAAGACACACCTCCGTCTGTTTGCTAACAAGTTAGGAAAGCCCATAGATGACGAGAATCTGCCTCTAAGGCTGTTCCCAGAAAGTCTGTAGGGGGATGCACTCAACTGGTATTCCAATCTGAAACCCGAGGAAGTAAAAACCTGGCTTGACTTGTCCAATGCTTTTGTGAGGCAGTACGAGTACAACTGCGAGCTGGCTCCGACACGAACCACGTTGGAAGGAACAAAGAGAAAACCCTCTGAGGACCACAAAAACTACGCTAAGAGATGGAGGAAAATAGCTGCAAAAGTCGAGCCACCAATGACTGAGGACGAAATTATCCGCACTTTCATTAAGGCACATGATCCGCCATATTTTGAAGAAATTTTTTGCATGACTGGATGTTCGTTTGCTGCTATTGTCAATAAGCTTGAAGAGTACGATGACTTCGTAAAAGTCGGGAAGATCGTTAATGTCTCTGCCCTCAAATCACAGTTGGATGTTTTGCAAGGACAAGGGAGCAGTGAGAAAAAACCGCAATTTAAAAAGAAAGAAGGGGAAGCCGCCTTTATCTGGGACCAAAACCCTACACAAGACCTAAATTTCAACACAAACCAACATATTCACCACCGTATCCCTACTATCCAAGTCCTCTCCCTGTCTACACTACCAATATCTCCTACCCCCGACCTCGCCCAAATTACACCAACCCGCCTAGAGTTCCTTTCCAAATATCTCAGCCAAATTTTTAACAACCTCATCCCCGATCTCCTTACCACCAGAGATTTTCCCCACCAAATAGACCCACCTATAACTATCCCCAACCCACTGAAATCTACAATCAGAATTGTACCCGAACGTTCACCAACCTAGGCAGCCCTTTGGATCAGTTATATGAGCAATTAAAGGCTGCCGGTAAGATAGGTGTGATTCCCCCTCCAACTTACCCTTATGGCATGCTTGCTGGGTATAATCCACAGGCTACTTGTGCTTATCATTCAGGAGCACCTGGTCACTCCACTGCCAATTATCGACTTCTCAAACATAAAGTTCAAGACATGCTCGAAGCAGGAGAAATTGTGATTAGGAAAAGAGAAGAGCAAGGACCGAATGTGAGCAAGAACCCCTTGCTGGAGCACACTGATACTGTCGGAGTTATTATGGATGATAAGGAATTTGAAGAGCTTGTCCGAAGCATGTCAAATGAAACAGAAGTGTTCGGGATAATGGATCAACCTTTTGTGATAGAGGAAGCATCGTATGAGGGAGATAAGGGGCCCTTCATTTTAGACCTAACTTCATCTGAAAGTACAGCTTTAGAACCTGTGGTAATTGAATTCCTGAAACAAGTGCCGGTTTTAAGTTTACAGCAAGTGCCGTGGAATTATAATGAACCCATTTTGCAAATCGGGGGTAAACAAATTTTGAATGACGAAGTGTCTGTTATTACGAGGTCAGGAAAGATTGCAAGTTCATCCACTGCTAGCGTCCCAGTCCAAGTAAGCAATCGTGAACCGATTACCAAACCAGCAGTTACCGAAAAAGAAGCATGGGATTTTCTTAAAAGGCTTAAGAGAAGCGAGTACAATGTGGTCAAACAGTTGAACAAAATGACTGCCCAAATTTCCATCTTAGACTTGCTTTTCTCCTTCGACTTGCACAGAGATGCGTTATTTGAAGTTTTGACTAAGGTTCGGATTCCCAAGGATATTTCGGTTGACAATTTCTCGCACATAATCGGAAATGTATTGACTACTAAACAAATCATTTTTTTTTATGAAGAGCTGCCTGCGGAAGGAACTGGTCATAACAAAGCCTTATATGTAGCTATGAGATACAATGGGAAAATGTTGTCTAAAGTACTGATCGACAATGGGTCTGCCCTCAATATTTGTCCTTGGAGCACTTTGGTGAAGTTAGGGTTGCAAGATGTCAAATTAAAACCCTCAGAGACCATAGTTCGAGGATTCGATAGAGCCCAAAGGGAGTCCATAGGAGAAGTAAATTTGGTAGTTGAAATGGGGCCCGCTTGATTTCAGATAGCCTGCCAAGTTATGTATTTTCCCAGTGTCTATAATGTTTCACTCGGGCGGTCATGGATTCATAGCTCTGGCACTGTGCCCTCTTCCTTGCATCAAGTATTGAAATTTGTGGTGAACGACCAGCTGATAACCATTTTTGCTGAAGAAGATTGCATTGTAATTGCCGATTCCGAGCCTAAGGAAGATGGCAACTGAAATGCTTCAGTGTCTTCTTACCGTACAGCTAACATTGTCTCTGTGAGTTGGATAACAAGTGAGACTTCAAAAGACGAAATGGTTTTGCAAGCAGCCAGTGTTATGATGGCCAAGGAAATGATTCGCGGAGGATATGAATTTGATAAGGGATTGGGACGCAATTTACAAGGCATTTTGAAGCTCGTGGAACTCATCGAAAAGAAGGACCTATTTGGTTTGGGATTCCGTCCGACTACCAGAGATATAAAAGAGATGAAAGCACGCAAGAAGGCAGAAAAGGAAGGCAAGTTAGGTGCTTTAGACATTCCACCACTACGCTATGCCTTTCCAAGGCCGGCTGAAGTCATTACATCTGAGTTTAGCCCAATTGACGAAGTGGAGACAAGCCTGACTCATTTGTTTGTGGGAGAAATATCCGAAGATTGTCTGTCAGATGATGCCAAATTCCCAGACATTCCCCAAGGAGCTATACACAACTGGACCACCGAGTGCTTTCCCGTGCACAAGGAGTTTCGGTAAATCTACAGGGGGTTGTCATTTACCAAAGTTCATGAAAACTGTTTCTTGCATATGTAAAAAGTTTAATGAAAGCATCTTTAGCAATTAAACTTTTGTCTTGTTTCACTTTTATTTGAAGCTTACGAAAATGCACAAGTAATTTTTATCACAATTGTTCATTTACTTGTTTATTTGCGTGTTTTATTTGCTTATTGCCTTGAATTTCTTAATTCTTACAGATGGCCAAAAATAAAATTATTTCACCCTATGGATATCACTGTTCTGGAATCCAATGATGACAATCTTTATATCACTCACGACTTGGAAATTATGCAATCTGAATTGCAAGATGAGAGTGATAATGAGGAGGTATATGATTTTTTCTCAAAAGATCTCGAACAATATGAGGAGAAACCTAAACCGAACCTAGAAGAAACAGAAATTGTCAATATTGGCACTGAGACTGAGGTTAAGGAGATACAAATCAGCATTCATTTGAACGAAAAGCAGAAAAAGGAGATGATTGAATTTTTGTCCATGTTTCAAGATGTATTTGCATGGTCTTATGACGATGTGACTGGCATTTCGACCGATATAGTGATGCACAGATTGCCTACAGACCCAACTTTCCCACCAGTGAAGCAAAAGCCCCGTAAATTCAAACTAGACATGAGTCTCAAAATAAAAGAGCAAATTGAAAAGCAGCTTAAGACTAATATTATCATTGTATCTCATTACCCTGTTTGGCTCTCAAATCCAGTCCCTGATCCGAAGAAGAATGGAGAAGTACGAGTCTGTGTTGATTATAGGGACCTTAACAAAGCCAGTCCGAAAGATGACTTTCCTTTGCCAAATATCCACATCATTCTAGACAATACTACTGGACACGAAATTGAGTCTTTTTGTGATTGTTTCGCTGGATATCACCACATCTTAATGGCCGAAGAGGATAGAGAAAAAATTGCTTTTATCACCCCTTGGGGCACATTTTGCTATCGAGTAATGCCATTTGGTTTAAAGAATGCCGGAGCTACTTATCAAAGGACTATGACTACTTTGTTTCATGATATGATCCACCAGGAGATGGAGGTTTATGTGGATGACATTATAATCAAATCCAGAAAAACAGAGGACCATTTGATTGATATAAAAAAGTTGTTTGACAGGTTGCGGAAGTACAATTTGAAGCTAAATCCTGCGAAATGCGCCTTCGGAGCACCAGCTGGTAAACTGTTGGGATTCATTGTCAGTAAAAAGGGCATAGAAATAGACCCGGCAAAGATCAAGGCAATTCGAGACATGCCAGTGCCAAAAACGCAGAAAGATGTGAAAAGTTTCTTGGGGAAGATTAATTTCATTGGAAGATTCATTGCCCAATTAACTGCTACGTGCGAGCCACTATTCAAGTTGTTAAAAAAGAATGTGCCATTGCATTGGAATGAAGAGTGCCAACAAGCTTTTGACAAAATTAAGGATTATTTGCTGCATCCTCCAGTCCTAGTGCCACCCAAACCGGGCCGGCCTTTGATCATGTACTTATCCGTGCTCGACGAAGCAGTAGGTTGTGTTCTGGGGCAACACGATGATTCCGGAAGGAAAGAGCAAGCCATCTACTATCTTAGCAAGAAATTCACCCAGTATGAGGCTAATTATTCATTCATTGAGAAAAGTTGCTGTGCATTGGCCTGGACAGTTCAAAAGTTGAGACACTACCTGCTTAGTCACACCACATATCTCATATCCTGCTCTGATTCTCTGAAATACCTCTTGGAGAAGCCGATGCCAACTGGGCGTCTGGCCAAATGGCAGCTGATTCTTTCGGAGTTTGATATTGTTTTCACTCCACAAAAGTCCGTCAAGGGACAAGCTATAGCCAATCATTTGGCAGAAAATCCAAACGGCGATGACTATCAACCGCTCCATACTTATTTCCCCGATGAGGAGGTTTTACTTTTTGGTGATGTAGAAGATATGAGCGAGCCGTGCCCTAAATGGAGGTTGTTTTTCGATGGTGCTACTAATTCTTTCGGAGCTGGAATCGGAGCAGTTCTCGTATCTCCAGAAAGGAAGCATTATCCCGGAGCTGCTAAATTGCAATTCGCCTGTATTTTTTGTCTTAAAATGGCTTTGGAAATGGAAGTTAAAGAGTTGATAGCCTTCAGTGATTCAGATTTACTTGTGCACCAAACGTTGAAGCAATGGATAACCAAAGATTCCAAGATCTTGCCATACCATTGTAATTTGCTCACTCTGGCTAGACAATTTCAAAGTTTGGAATTCAGACATCTCCCACGAGCCCGAAATGTATTTGCCGATGCTTTGGCCACCTTATCTTCTATGATACAATATCCGGACGAACTAGGAATCGAGCCTATCCGGATCCAACTCCAGGACAAGCCTGCTCATTGTTGGGTCGTAGACAAAACATCTGGCAATAGCCCTTGGTACAATGATATTAAGGTGTTCATCAAAACCGGGTCTTACCCTCCAGAAGCTACTACAAATGACAAGGGTTTCCTGCGTAGAATGGCCTTGAAGTTTTTCTTAAATGGAGAGGTATTGTACAAAAGGACCTCAGATTTGAACCTCTTAAGGTGCATCGATGAGGATGAAGCTCAATACATGATGAAAGAGGTGCATAGCGGTGTTTGTGGACCTCACATGAATGGACATTTGTTAGCAAAGAAAATCATGAGAACCGGGTACTTTTGGCTTACCATAGAGCGTAATTGCATAGATTTTGTCCGGAGATGTATTAAATGTCAAGTGCATGGCGATGTTATATGCGCTCCTCCTACCGAATTGCATAGCATGATTGCCCCATGGCCCTGCTCAATGTGGGGTATGGACGTGATTGGCACAATTGACCCTCCTGCTTCAAATGGACATCGATTTATATTGGTGGCAATTGAGTACTTCACCAAATGGGTCGAAGCGGAATCATTCAAGCATGTAACAAAGAAAGTGGTGGCAAATTTCTTAAGAAATCACATCATATGCCGATTTGGGGTGCCAGAAACATTTATTACAGACAATGCCAAGAATCTCAACAATGACATGGTGGACGGGCTATGCAAACAGTTCAAAATCAGACATCGCAACTCTGCCATCTATAGACCGCAGATGAACGGAGCCGTGGAGGCCGCAAACAAGAATTTGAAGAAGATCATTCGCAAGATGACTGAAAAGCATCGTGACTGGCATGAAAAGCTTCCTTATGCACTAATGGCATACCGGACTTCTATTCGAACTTCAACTGGGGCAACCCCCTACTCGCTCGTATATGGAATGGAAGCTGTGTTACCTGCCGAGTTCGAAATCCCTTCATTGTGTATTCTAATGGAAACTAAGTGGGAAGAGGCTGATTGGTTAAAGCAACGTTATGAACAACTGTCCTTGATTGATGAAAAATGACTTAATGCTATTTGTGATGGCCAATGTTACCAAAAATGCATGGCCCGGGCCTACAACAAGAAAGTCCATCGGCGTACATTTGAGGAAGGCGACAAAGTACTTAAACGAATTTTGCCAGTGCAGGATGAGGCCAAAGGCAAATTTGCTCCAAATTGGCAAGGGCCATTCATTGTTCAAAAGGTATTACCTGGCGGAGCACTCATTTTGGCAGAGATAGATGGACAGACATTCCCTCAACCTATCAACTCAGACATGTGTAAGAAATTCTTTATTTGATTATGCAAATTTCTTTTAGGAAATCACGCAAGGGACGAGACAAAAGTCAGGCCATCTTCCTTTCCAATCAAAACATTTCATCCCTAGTCATCCCCTTTGAGCTATCAAAACAATAACTTTCATTTGACAGCCCCTGAGAATTGCAAACCCCACACTGGGGCAAATTTATTTTGAAAGAAAGATGGAAAAGAAAAAAAAGAAAGAACCCCACACTGGGGCAAATTTAGTTTTTAAAAGAAAAATGCAAAAGTGAGGAAAATGCAATGAAAAATGCAAAGAGAGAAAAATCCCAATCAAACTGGGGCAAATTTTCCTCAGTGTCATTCAAAATTGGAGATGATTTCAAAATGATGCAATCTCAGGTTATTTCACACTTTTCATTAAAAAAAAATTTGCTTTCAAGCCTCAACTTTCTTGAAAACACCCCACCTGACCTCATTATGAAAACCCAAAAGTCCTGGCTTTCGTCACTTGCTGTATTTCTATTAGGGATTTCGCTAATCAACTGGCAAGTGATGTCTATAATGCATTTACTTAAGCTTATAAGGGAAGCGCGTTTTACTGATGCCAGAAATCTTCAACTCACACTCCTGAGTCGATCATGGTCGAGATTTTCCATTGTTCCTTAGGTGAAAACCCGAAAGGGCACCTAAAAAAAAAGAAAAAAGAAAAAGAAAAAAAGAAAAAAAAAACAACAAACAAAAAGAAAAAAAAAGAGAGAAAAGAGAAGAAAAAAAAGGTGGGGGCAACCTTGGTGAAAACCCGAAAGGGCGCCAACGTAGGGGTCTGCAATAAGCGAGCATGAGGAGGAACAGCTGGTGACTTGGTTCATTTGGATTTCTTCTCATTTTTGTAATACTTCTGCCAACGTTGAATTCCTGAACAAAGATATCCAAGGTTTCAAACATGACATCTGTTGGCCGAAAGTTGTGTTATTTTGTAAAATAAATATTCTTTTGCAAATACATTCTTAGGAAGCTCATTTTTTTTCCAAATTGCTTGCATTCATGGCATTTTATAGGCTTTAATCACAGATGGTCATGTTTGTATTTTTGTGCATATTCATTCCTGCATGACATGTGAATTATCTTGCATAGCTCATTTTATTTTTAAATCATTGAATTTTGGCGAATAACAATCCCCATGGTTTATTTCAAAAGCATGCTTGGATTCAGTCATCTTTTGGAAACGGTTGACATTTAGCAAAGTCAGCTACGCAGACTTCACAGTATGGCAAAACACATACCTGTCAATTTGAAAAATCGAAAAGTTTTGGAGCGAGAAATCCAATTCAATAGGATGCCGCAGTGAAAGCTGACGAAGAAGGAAGAAAAAGGCATAAAAAACTCATGTTTACACGATTCTCAAAGGAAAACAGATCAAATGATGGCGGCAGTTTCTTTGTTTTTCTCTTTTGCAGGAAAATTTCATGCATGGATGGAAATGATCAACACTTCGCACTGGAGTTGGCATCGGAAAGAGTTCTTTAGTGAACAAAGGCGGATCTAAAATGCTGCAAGCAAATTTGGTCAAAAGATACAACCATGGCAATGCAGAATCAACCATCGGGCTCAGAGGCAAGAACTTAACCTTTACTGAAAAATTTTGGGCTATTTTCAGGTAAGTATATTGGAATGTCTCGATTTTAAATTTCTTGTTCGGATCAGTCTCGATTTTAAATTTCCTGTTTCGGGTCAGTCCCGATTTTAAATTTCCTGTTTCGGGTCAATCCCAATTTTAAATTTCCTATCTCGGGTCAGTCCCGATTTTAAATTTTCTGTTCGGGTCAGTCTCGATTTTAAATTTCCTGTCTCGAGTCAGTCCTGATTTTAAATTTTCTGTTTGGGTCAATCCCGTTTAAATTTTCTGTCTTGCGTCAGTCCCGATTTTAAATTTTCCGTTCGGGTCAGTCCCGTTTAAATTTCCTGTTTCGGGTCAGTCCCGATTTTAAATTTCCTGTTTTGGGTTAGTCCCGATTTTAAATTTTCTGTTCGGGTCAGTCCCGATTTTAAATTTCCTATCTCGAGTCAGTCCCGATTTTAAATTTCTTATTTCGGGTCAGTGCCGATTTTAAATTTCCTGTTTCGGGTCAGTCCCGATTTTAAATTTCTTGTCTCGAATCAGTCCCGATTTTAAATTTTCTGATTCGGGTCAATCCCGTTTAAATTTCCTGTTTCGGGTCAGTCCCGATTTTAAATTTCTTGTTTGGGTCAGTCCCATTTTAAGATTTTGTAAAAGGGGTCAGTCCCCATTTCTAAAGCATCCATCGTTCGAGACGTTCGCAGCCGAATAACGCAGGTGAGTATTTGGTGTCTACTTCTTTGTCTCAAATTTTTTCAAAACTCAGACAAAGAGGGACAAACTGTAGACACCAAATTTTTAGGGTATTTTTGTTTACTATTATTTCTTTTTTATGTTAGTTTTTATTTACTTTTAGTCTTTTATCTTTATTTTTAAGTCATTTTAGCATAGAACTTATCGGAAAAGAAAATCATTCAAAAAAATAAGCTTTAGTTATTTTAGATTCAAGTTCATTGTTATTTAATTAAAAAAAAGGGAAAAGGGAAAATCATCAATCAAACACAAAAAAAAAAAAATTTCTTTTTAGGCATTTTATTTTTATCTTTTATTCCTGGTTTTCCTCATTTGATTTGATTTTACTTAAAATGTTACTTTTATTATATTATTATTAAAAAAATTTTGCAGCTAGCCATTTCTTCTATTTTACTTTACTCATTTCCGTTTTTTGTTTATATAAGTCTAGCTCATCACTCAAAGATCTCATTCATAAAATCTAAGGGCTCTAAAATCTTGGAAAAAACCCAACTATCATCCTAATCTTAGGTGTGAGGGTTTGGGGGTTTAGCTTCCCATATAAAAGGGATAAGAGGAAGCTGCAAAAGGAGGGAGGTGGAGAAAAGGGTAGAATCCAAGTTGACAGCTGGAGAGAAACCAGGAAAAAGAGAGGGACTCTGGTGACGGCTGAAGGGGAGAAGGAGTTTCAGGCTCGACAAAGAAAAGAAGAGAGAAAGGGAGGATTTGAGAGAAGCAAAGGAAATCTGGAAAAATTTTGAGAAAGACTTCGAAGCTGAGAACGGGAAGAAGAGGATCACTCGACAAATCAGCCATTTCTGCAGCAAAAGTGCCCAAGCGTGTTTTTTTGGAACCCTTATACGTATCTGGGCAGACTTCAAGGGCAATCAAACGCGTTAACATTTTCAGGTAAAGATTTTTTCTTATTTTGTGGATTTTAATATGTTATCACAAAAGATGAAGCCATCGGATGTCATTTTTCTGATGTTTGCTACTGGTTCAAGCTCTCGCTGATTCTGTGATTCTGCCATGTTGCTCATTTGCGAAGATATGATTCAGTAGGAGTCTATAAGATGGGTATGATCAAGAACAAGGGTTTAGAGTTTTTTTATAGTAGTCACCCGATGAATCCATGAGTTTCTGCTCAATGTTTACAATCAGTCTTTGCGTATTTGAATAGGCAAACCCAGAAAAATGGCTTTAATTTGCAGACAGGTCTGTTTTGATGTTTCTTTGGCTGTTGCTTCTTTGTTGCTTGTTGTTAGCGTTTGGGTTTCAATGTTAAACGAAGCAAATGGTAAGTTTTGGCTGTCTGCTTGGAGTTTGATTCTTTGGGTACGCATGTTTGATGATAAAATGGGTGGAAATCTTGGTGAATGAATCTGGTTTATTGTCATGGTTCGGTCATTGTATGCATTTGCTGAAATTTGTGAGCATGATTGGTTCATCCTTGCTCTATATATGCATCTGTGTTCGGCTAATGTTTCAGCTTTGAACAAGTTTATAATGTCAAAACATGATTTTTTCTTGGCTCGCAAAAGTTTACCCAGAAAATTTGAAAGGAACCTGCGGTTCCGTTGTTTTCTCCAGTCATGTTAGCACAAAACCATTCAAGCATTAATTTGAGACAAGCTGATCTGTTTTGATGAAAGTAGTGTTATCTGTTTTGGATGAATGAGAGTCAGGTCCAAAGTGCCTACGGCAAAAGCTGCTCATTCACATTTGAATTCGCTGATATGTCTCTCATTTTTCCTGATACATGTGTGTCCACATTTCTGTTCTTCATGCTTTCATGTCTCGCATTTACAGCATCAAAGTTTATCAGTTGGTGGATGATTGTTTCATCATGATCAAATTCTAGTTTTTCAGGGGCATAAAAATATTTGGCAGCACCTTTGTTTTGCTGCTATGAAAACCACTGCTGCACTTTATTTTGCTAGTAGTCACCGAACCAAATTTTTCTTATTTGATCTTGCAACAAAAAATGTAATATTTGGCTTGGTTGATAATTGGGGGAGTGTCTTGTGATCGTTTGACAAAAAAGTTGACGTTTGTTGGTAATGTTTGGGTTGGTAATGAAACACAGTAGGCTGCAGAGAAAGGGAAACCAGAGATGAGAATTTGTTTCTTCGTAGCATGCATGGAAAGTAATTCTAAAAATTACACTTTAACCCTCTAAGTTTCCCTTTATCTTACAAAGGCCCAATTATATTTTGATTTCTTGCAATTAGGTCCTAAAGTAATTGCAATTTCAACCATTACTTGACCCTTTCTTTGCTCTTGGACCCTTGAATTTCCTAAAATGTTTAAATTGGGCTTGAGTGATTGGTTAGTATTTGCAATTGGGTCCTTGGTAGTTTTTCTATTTTAGAAATTTGATCAATAATTTACTTTCTTGGAAATTATGCATT